ACGGCACCCTCGGTATATGGGGTCCACACCCTACCCACTGTGCCACAGGCGCTGCCCTTCTTTGCAGTTTAAAACTTAAAACAACAACAACAACCCATTTTGGAAGGAAATCATTCTAAAATGTTACACTCATCTTCAGCATATCTGCAATATAAAATAAAATTGGGGGGCTGTATGAGGGGCATTCATAAAAACCCAACAGCTTCTGTGCAGCAGGGTCTTCATAAGCTGTTAACAGTGGGAGCAGAGGAACTCTTTGCTTTTATGCCAAATAACCTTAGACCACTTGAAAAATATTTATGACTGCTTGAATTTTATTTGTTTTTTTGGTATTGCCTCCCTTCTATCAGGTTATTGGGTCCTTTGCTGCTCTAAATGTGCTTCTAATCTATAGTATAGAAACACACATGGACACTGTAAAATTGCAAAAATAAGGGTAAGTAGGCCATGGTCGAGGACTGGAGAATCTATCCAATGAGTCGTGCACATGGGTATTTTAGCCACTAAGAAATCCTTTCCACTCCCTATACACCCTGTACTTGACCTTGTATATGACATGTCCCCACACATTATTCCCAAGATTACTATTTACTTCATCCATTGGAAAAGTCCCCTGAGGATTATAATGTACCCAAGTAACAGGAGACGGAACATTTAAGAGAAGAAAATCAGCACAGTGTAGAAATAAAAAACAATCTTTGGCACTAAAAAGATATGAATGAGATTCCTGGTGTTCCCATTTTCCTGCTGCATGATTGCTTTGGGGACAGGCCACCCACCTACCACTGTGAGCCTTAGGGTCATGAAGATGAAAGGAGATAATAATGTAGAACAGTGCTTAGCACAGCACTTAGCAAAAATGGGGCAAGGAAAGGAAATCAGAATGTGTTTGGGTGCTTGACGGAGTCAGGAAGGGGGACAAGAGTGGGAACCTGAGGGGACAGAAGAGGAACAGTAAAGGAGATGTGCTATCTGGGCTTCCTACAAAGAGGAATGTGTATGTGCCTTGGGTAGCCTGGAAGACCTGATGACTGTCACAAAGAGTGCTTGTGGGAGGGGTGTGTGTCTTCCTCACTTAAGACTGGGAACTCCTTTGAGCTGGCTAGTTTTGTCTCTTCCTTTTTTCCTGCTCTAATTAACACTGGCTTGGGGGTCCTGGCAGAGAGAGAGAGGTGAAGGTGTTCCCACAATGGTTTGGACCTACCTAAACCTAAATGAAAATGACCTGCCCAAACAAAGCAGCCATAGGAGCCCCCATCTGCCTGCAGGCTGGGAAATGGTTACTTTTGTGGCTCTTGGCCCAGAAGAGGGAGAGTAGAAAAGGACGTGGTAGCAGGATGGCTGTCCCTGTGTCCCCACATCTCTTTGGCCTGTTCTTCTTTGTCTTTCAAATCAGCTTTTGGTTTTTCTGCCTCTTGCCCACTCCTCTTTTTAGCCACTGAGCACCCACTCTGGGCTGGACACTGGACTGAGCGGTTGGAAATATAGACAGAAATAATGTACAGTCCTGACTCCTGGAGAAAGACCACCAGCTCCCCGGAGTCCCTTACCCACTGAAATCCCCTCAACCCCTGTCAGTTCTGCTCCTCTCACTTTGTGCTGTCACGCCTTAAAACCATGCTCCGCAGTGTTCCCCAGAGGGAAGCGACACAAAGGAAGGGGGGAATGCAGAAAGGAGGGAATCCCGCTGACATCACTGCTCATTAGCATGTGTGACCTCATCAGGGGGCGGGACAATTTCCCCAGGTGTCTGGGGGGAGGGCATTTGTGTGTGTGGGGGGGTGGTATTTAAAGGAAAAAGCTGACAGTGCTGCTGAGTGAGGGAGCGGGTGCTGCCAGCCGCCGGGCTGCACACGAGCACGCACACCGATGCACACGGAGCCCGACACCGACATGGACACGGACACAGAAACCACAGCACTCTGCCCCTCTGGCAGTCACCAGGTCTCCCCCCCAGAGACACCCACACCAGGTGAGGGCTAACTTGAGCAGGTTCTGACTGAAAACCATGGGGGTGGGAGCTGAAGCTTTGATGGGAGGTGAAAAAGCTTAAACCCAATCAGCAAGAGGGGAAGAGCAAGTCAGGAAGTGGAGAAGACCCTTGCTCCTGTAAGGACTCGGCTGAGCTGGGGTGGAGGGGGAGAAAAGCTGCCTCAGTGCCCCCTCCCCCATCACTCCCAGGGCTTTGCTTGAGAAAGTGGTACATGGCCCCTAGCTCAGCCTCATTCCCAAGCGGCTGGGACAGACTGGAGGAACCGGGAGGACAGGGGCAGCCTACAAACCTGGGAATCACAGGCAGGGGGCTACCCTGGGAACCTGTTGTAAGGGTTTCTTCTGGCTCCGGGAGGCCCTGGCTACCAGCCAAGTATTGATCCTGGGCTATTTCCAGCTCTTTCCATCCCCCTTTGTTGTGTCTGTTGTTCCTCCTCCAGTTACCCTGACCTGTGCATTGTCACTCTTTCCTTCACTCACACACGTACACTCTACCTCTACCGCTCAGAGAACACAATATTCTCTCCCACTCACAGAGACAGCAATACAGGATTCTCACATAACTATGCGCTGGGGGTTGCTCACGTACCAGGCCCTGGGCAGCAGCGGCCCCTCTCTCACACACCCCCGCAGGGGAGACCCAGCACACCTTATCTCAGAGAGCAAAGGCCTTATCCTTAGGAACAGGCACCCTACAAAGTTTTTGACTTCGCCAGAACCTACTCCTTAGGGGCAGCAGCTTCAGCTTCTTATCCCTTTGCCCCTTCTTGGTGTGGAGATCACCAGTATAGGAAGCAATAGGGGGCCAAGGCCTCTTGATGGAAGGAAGAGCAGCCTCTCCCCCCCCCCACCCCACAGGGCTAGGGGCATAGTCTGGGGATATGCCTGTATGTTGGTGTTAAGCATGAGTGGGTGTGTGAGCCTGTGAACAGGCACCTCTCCTATATGGGCATGTTTTGAAATAGGCTGTGGCTGGGACCACTTTGGGAAAGCCATCATGTCAGTTCCACAGAGGCTCACCAGTTTGGGTTTCTGGGGAGTTTAGTGGGAGGTCATGCCAAAGATTCTCGTTCCTTTGGGTCCTGGTCATAGACTGGGTGTGGCCGGGCCTCTGAAGCTAAAGCAGCCTAGATTGAGCCCTCTGCAGATGGCTGGGCATACCCCACTCATAGCCTTCCTTTCTTTGCTCCCCCCTCCCAGAAACAGATGCCACAATCCTGAAGAAGCCAGAGAAACTGTTGGCAGAGTTGGATCGGGGTGGGCCACCCTCTGTCCCAGGGGCCCCCAGGAGAAGAGGCAGTATGCCTGTCCCCTACAAGCACCAGCTCCGGCGGGCCCAGGCTGTAGATGAACTTGACTGGCCACCTCAGGCTTCATCCTCTGGCTCCTCTGATTCCTTGGGCTCAGGGGAGGCATCACCTGCCCAAAAGGATGGCATTTTCAAGGTCATGCTGGTTGGGGAGAGCGGCGTAGGCAAGAGCACCCTAGCAGGCACTTTTGGCAGTCTCCAGGGAGACAGTGCTCATGAACCAGAGAACCCAGGTATTCAGGGGAGACCTGTATGATCAAGGGGGCCCTGGGGCTCTGGTCAGGGATGGAAGTCCTTATGACATACACAGCCCCTAAAGGACAGAACTCTGAAAAACTTCAGTGCTTTCTGTTACAGCCTCTGTGGAGGGAGATGGGGATCCCTGGTTACCAAGTCTCACAAGCATTGGGGAACCTCCTAATGGGCTTTATTTCCTCTCCCCACTTCCCAACAGAGGACACCTATGAGAGACGAATCATGGTGGATAAAGAGGAAGTGACTCTAGTTGTTTATGACATCTGGGAACAGGTGAGAATTAAGATGTGGCTGCAAGCAAGTGATGAAGCTGGGAGAACTGGGAAAGGGCAAAGTCTGGGTGAAGGCTGGTGGGCCTGCAGGCCCTGGTCAAAATATATTAGAACCTTTTCTTTCATTTGTATCATCTCAGAGAACAAAGCCCATACCATTGTGATACCATGCCTGTGATCATAAGACCCACAGTCTTCCCAAGATCTTCTGACCCAAACAAAACTTGGGATCTGAATTTTTTTTTTTTTTT